ATTAAACTTTATCATTTACCAACAGATAGACAAAGAGAGGAAGAGAAAGAAAGAAAAAAGTGAAGCATGCAAGAACCATCTATGTCACACTAACAAGCTAACTATACTTCCTCTATAAGTGTTGAAGATGTCATTGGAGGGAGGAAACTCCAGTTTAACACATATATACTAAAGAGTAACTACAACTGGTTTAAACAGTAAGTCAGATGAATGACAATGCCAAGGCTGTGCCCTTTGTAAGACATATACTGTTCCTCCAGTATTAGAAGAAAGAGGGGCTTTTCAAATTAGTGTAAAAATGATGTAAAAGAATGAAATCAAAAGAGAATTTACCATTTATTTGACAGGAGATAGCACAATTGAAAGTTAATGACATACATTTAATTATTTTTTTTCATTTTTGACAAGTTGAAAGATCTTATACTTTTAACTGTTTCTACCTATTGTGTTTGAGAAAATCAATGAAATATGGATGACAGCAACAAGACATTGTACTAGAAAACTCCAGGTCCTCATTCTGTCATGGAAATATCAAATAGACATCTAAAGACCAAAGTAACTTCATAGGAACTCTGTAAAGTAGTCAAGGAATTCTAGTAACAAGTCAATCACCTGAATAAGAAAATGCCACAATTTACAAATTGTTATGAGACAAAGAATGGCTTTATATGATGATGAAAGGGTCAATTTATCAAAAAGACACAAGAAATATGAACATATATGCACCAAATACCAGAGCTCCAAAATACATAAAACAATAATTCACAGATATGACACAAGAAATAGAGAGCTTTGTGGAACTTCAATGTCCCACTTTCAAGATCAGATCAAATAACCAGATAGATAATCACAATTGAGCACTTAAGTATTATAGACCAATTAAGCACATGGAAAACACTCAAACATAGCTAAATACACATTTTTCTCAAGTATGCATGAAACATTATCTAGGATAGAACAACAGAGAAAGCCCACATATATTAGATAATTCTACAAAACACATACAGAATTGACATTCACCTTTCCCAAAATCTTCCAAAAACTTGAAGAGTTTGGAAAATTTCCCAATGCAGTCTAAGTGACATCATTACTTTGATACCAAATCCAGACAAAGACATTATGAAAAGAAAACTAAAGGACAATATCTCTTATGAAATTTAGTGTAAAAATCATTGACAAAATGTTAGCAAAGTGAAACTATTTGACACTTTTGACCTCACTCCAGCAAATGGGGTTGGTACCAGTGGGAAGAGAGAGGATGTGGAGGGAGGATTTAGGAGGGTGAAAATGGTGCAAATATTGCATACACAAGTATGTAAATGGAAAAATGAGACCGGTTGAAACTATTCCAGGAATGGGGGAGGGAGAATGTAAAGGAGAATGATGAAGGGGGTGAATTCAACTATGATGTATTATAAGAACTTTTGTAAATGTCACAATGTACCCCCAGTACAACAATAATTTTTTAAAAAGCACAAAAAAGAAGTTAGGAAGTCAGCATTCCGTATTTAAGCAACTAAAGAGCTAAACTGAAAATGAAAAACATTTTCTACATCTATAAGAGAAGTTAGGTCAGAAAACAAACCAGTGGATCCAAAACTGGGAAGACCGGCAGGATGTAGAGACTCAAAACTTACCAGTGCAGAAACCCAAAGGAAGCAACCTCTGCAGGAACCACTGCAAGTGTAGGAAAATCAAAACTAGCTGAAGAATTACTGGAGACTCTGAGTGAAGAAGTCTGAGAGTCAAAAAGCTCTGGTGAGAGGGTAATCTTAAGGATATTTTAAAGCTTTGGTGAGTTTTCCCACCTAGAGTTCCATGAAGTTCTTATAATAAATATTGGAGGGAAATATATTAATTTTCCTAGCTGAATAGGAAAAGGTACCATTTCAAGATATGTTAAAGGATTGTGATTTTCTAAACAAGGCTTGTTCTGAGAAGAAACTATTTAACCTGAATAAAAATCAATTAATATAAAGCTCTCTCATCAACATGCTAAAGAAGAATCATATGATCATATTAATAGATGCAGAAAAACATTTGACAGCATCCAATACTAATATATGATTTAAAACTTTCAGTAAATCTGGAGTAGAGGAAAATAAAGGATATCTCCTTAAAATCTCTATCATTAGTATCCTAATTAATAGTGAAAAGCTAGAAGCTTTACCACTAAAATCAGGAACAAGGCAAGGATATCGCTTTTCACTGTAACTTTTCAACATTGTACTGGAAGCCCTAGATAACACATTAAGAAAATAAATTCTTAAGGAGGTAAATCTAACTAAAATGTATTATAAGCACATCTGTAAATATTACAATGTATCCTCCTGTACAACTATTACATGCTAATAAAAAAGAAAAAATAAATTTAAAAAAAGAAAGAAGACTCTTTTCAAGGAATGGTGTTAGAAAAACTGAATATCCATATACAAAAGTATGAAGTTAGATCTTTACCTTACAGCATATATAAAAAGTAACCAAAAACATATCATATTTCTAAAATAGTTGTAAAAATCATAAAACTCTACAGAGAAAACCTATAGGAAAAGGTTTATAGCCTTGCATTTGGCAATGATTTCTTAGATAAGACACCAAGATTAAGGCAGCAAAAGAAAAAATATTTAAGTTGGATTTCACTAATATTTTAAAACTTAGTATATTAAAGGACACTATGAAGAGAATTAAAAATAATCCACAGAGAAGAAAGTATTTTCAAATCATATATCTGATAAGAGATCTATATCCACAATATATAAAGAACTACAACTCAAAAACAACAAAAATCTTTAAAATCTGATTAACAGTTTTACCTCCTTGTTCACAACATTATTATCCACAGTAGTTAAAATATGCAGGCAGCCCTAGTGTCAATACACAGATGAATGGATAAGCAAAATATAGTGTACAACACAATGGAATAACACAATGTATTACACAATGGAATATTATTCAAACTTAAAAAGAAAGGAAATTCTGGTACATGGTATAACATAGACTAACCTTGAATATAATGTTGCTAGGTTAAATAAGCCATTCTGAGTAGTAGAACAAATATTGCATAATTCCACTTATATGAGGTATCTTTTATAGTCAAATTAATAAATATAGGAATAGAATGATGGTAGTCTGGGATTGGAGGAAAGAAAAAATTCAAAATTCTATTATTAGAGATAAGATTGTGGGGCTTCATTCAATTTTATTAAATGAAACAAGAAACTTAGATATCAAGAGAGCCATACTGCAAAGCAATAGCAGTATTATTTCCCAGCTATTAAATATTGAAATCCTTCAAAGCTGTGTTTCAGCTTCTCTGCTGTTTGTACATTCTACATTAGCATGAGGAAAGTTCTTCCATATCTATAGTTGCAGTTGTCATTCACGGGCAGACAGCCAACAAATTTATGTCTTCAATTATCATCCTGTGATCAATTATTTCATGTCTCTAAATCACTTAAAATCAGTATGTTCAAGACCAAGTTCATGATCAGCCAACCCTATATTTGTTTATTTCCCTCTACTCAATTGAGTAAACCATAAAGCCAGGACCTTTACTTTCCTTTACATCCCATATCTTATTGTGAGCTCCTGTGCCACAATATGCTTTTTGCTTTCATTTAGCTCAGCACTTTTACATTCATTTGGGTGAGCATTTGATTAATGTCTGTCTCCCATAATAGAATATATATTCCATGTAGACTTTATTTTTGCACATAATCATATTCCCAGTGCATAGGTGTTTAATATTTGTTGAATTAACAAAACTTTAAGCTTTGAATTCATAGTTAGTGAATTAGTCAGATATGAAAAATTAAATATAACTGACCTCCTTCCTATCTATATGCATAAGAGTTGTTCCTCAGTTACAGTTTGACATTGACCTTGAGATTATCCTGCTTATTGTCTTCAGTTCTGGGTCTTTAGTTTGTTGTCATCTTTCACATTAAATTGTATTTCTTGAACATTTCTAACATGTCTAGTGGGATGATTCCTAATATGTTACCTGCCATTAATACTAGTCCAAGCATACTTCAATTCCTTGGTTGGAAAATATTAAATGCTTGCTCACAAGTCAGAGTCAAGGTGGAGGTCAAAGCATGTAGATGAGGGTGAGGGAAAGGGTAATCTTATCTCAGGGCTAGAACTCTACATCTTGAACTCCACATCTTTTGTTACTATTTTTAAATGCGCTTAACATCTGAATCTGTTTCCACATTTGAAAAAAAATGTATCCAGTATTAAAAATAAGCTTTGTAAAAATTTGAAGATTATATGAGGAAATGTCCCTGACATTACTTTTTAAACTGTAAAATGACACAAATGTACGAGTCCAGTGTAATTAGGGGTGGAGTAAATTCTAAAATACCTATGAGTGTGGAGGAGGTATTTTTTCTGGCAATAACTTACAATTGTGGGTAACTACCTTGCATGGTGTATTTCTATGCTGTTTTTTAACTTGCTTTTGAAATAATGGAGTGGTTTTAGCAAACATCTTCAAAGAAAAAAGGACGGAAAAGCACTTTTTGTTTTTTAACTAGTGAATAATTTGTTCTTTTTTATTATTTTTATTTTATCACATACTTAATCACTTGGAGTCTGTACTTTTATCATATTTCAGCTTCTTGATATACCAAATTTCTTAATTGTCTTACTCTTCTCCGTAATGACCTGACAGTAACCAGGCGGGCGGATACTAACAGCCACCTGACTTCTTGTAGGGCAGGTTTTATGGCATTGTTTGTGACGTAGTACCCTGACATGCGTAACCAATTATGACGTCTCCCACTCTCTTCAATATGTAAAGCTAGACGTCCACACAGCATCCCAATTGCACCAGGTGGTGAGGGACAGCCAGCACCCTGGCCAGAGGCTCCCCCAATTCGGGCGCCTAGCGGCCCCCTGCTTCCCAACAGCCAGCTGAGTACCTACCTCTATTCCGAGAAGTTAGAAAAAGCCAAAGAGGCACAATGAGCATCTTTTTGCTCCTAGTAAGCGGCATTATGTTTGCTTTTGTGTTTGTCGTCTGTAAAAAGCTATTCCAGGTAAAAGTGTATATATATTTTCTGTGTGTGTGTAATTAGATTAAGTTAGATGAATACATGTTTTGGGGAGTAAGAAGATAGATAGAAGGACAGTAAAATAAGAATTAAGGGATGAGTTCACTTTTCTTTTTATACAAATAGCCCTAGACTTTCTCCTTCACTCCACAATTCCAATATTTTGATCAATGATTTGACAGTTGTAGTCAGTTGTAAATTGTTCCAAGTCACTAAGCTATATGGTCAACTTTTCATCCACCTGGAGAGAAAAGCACAGCTGAAAGTGCTCATTCCCCACCACTACATCCAATTTCAAGAATGTGTGCCTTTTCTCTCTTCTCTCACTTCTATTCTCCTCCATTTTCTTGTTTGCTTCTCTGTCTTCTCCTGCCATCATTGGGGGAGTTTTCTAGACATTTACAAATACTTCAGGTCTAAATGTTGGTTTCATGGTGTTATTTAAAGTTGCAAGTGAGGTGGAGGTAGCCCAAATAATGTATACACATGTAAGTAAATGCAAAAACAATTAAATAGAGTAATAAATACGTTGCAAGTGAGGTGCTTTTACATGAGGATCAAAGACAGGGTCCAAATGTGGACCTACTAGACTTCCTAAGAAATGTAAGCAAAGGATATGGTACTTTTGTATTACAAGGCTACTTTCATATATTTTTTTCCTCAGTCTATCTGGGTAAAGCATACTTCCAAATCAATGTTGTCATTCCACACATTTTTAATTTCAAGCTTTTAAGGGAAATCAATTCATTTTTGTAATCATGTTGTCATCTGGAAGTATTTAGAAATTGCTAAACTCAATGAACTACATATGTATAATTACTTTTACAGAGAAACACTGGTGAAATGGAATCAAATTCAACTTCTCTTGCATTAGTAAGAACAACTTCTCCTGCTTGGTCACCTAGGAGCAATACTGATAGTCTTTCAGTCAACAACCTCACTCGGGATATCTTAAATAATTTTCCACACTCCCTAGCAATGCAGAAATGAATACTGGTAAACCTCAGAATCGTGGAATACAAGCAGGCTGAATTGGAACATTTCCTAAGTATTAAGGGAGTAAATGGTGCATTAGTTACCCGGAAGTCCAATGAAAAGGTTGCAACACGTAAAGAGGGTAGAGACAAACTTTAAAGGTCTTTGAAGTTACTTGATTATGTATTCGTACAAAATGAATTGTTCTTTAAAAGTGGAGGCAATGACAATTCAGACACAAAACCCCAAATATTTATCAATTTGCTTATACTCACATTTTAAAGAATTGATTACACATAGTTGCTAATATATATTTTACTGGGGAAAGAATAGAAGCAAAATACAGAAAGAAAATCAGTTCAAAAGTTTGGGGTTCTTTCACAATAAACTGCAATAAAAAGATTCGAGTTGAGGTATGGTGATTATGATTTCATTCAAGTTTGAAAAACAATTTTCTCTAATGATTAGCAGTATAAAAGCTCAATTGTCTTTAGCTTTACATTAAATTAGGTGAAGTTAGATGGAACTCTTTGCTATCATGCAGAATAGTGTTTCTTGCCATTGTTGTACTCATTTGGTACCCTACAATATGCCACATAGTCCATTAAGATCTGTTTTTCATACTTGTGAAGATAGTGACACAAACCTTTACTATACTTTTTGGTCAGCTTTTGAAAAGGATTAACTCCTCATATCTCCCTTCATCCAATTAAATATTCTTTCATTTAAAAGGTGCCCAAATCTTCTCTGAATTGAAAGATTGGCCTATAGAAAAATAGAAAGCATTTATTTTATTTGGAGAAAAATACACACCTTAAATAGCACCAAAATATAGTGGTAGAATGTGTGTAACATAATGTGGATTAAAATTAAAATATTTCTAAGCTGTGGTCACTCATCCATTTCAAAATTTTTATAAAATCCAATATAACTAAGGAATTTATCTCTTGAAATTTGCTAATAGCACTTGAAAACACTCAAAATATCAAACATGAGTCCATTGTGTATGTGTGTGTGTGTGTGTGTGTGTGTGTGTGTGTGTGTGCGTGTAACTCACTGAGGTGGATCAATTATAGGCCTATTTATCAACCTTCATGCCCCCTCCCCTCAAAATAAATTACCAGTATAAATTGAAGAAATGCTTTCATTCCTCCCTCCTTTAATTATCAATCAGAAGAAGGAAGAGGAGTGGGCTGGTAGAGTGGCTCAAGTGTTAGAATACCTGCCTAGCAAGGGTGAGGCCCTGAGTTCAAACCCCAGCATTCCCCTCCCCTAAAAAAAAGGAGAAAAGAAGGAAAAGGAATTCATAATATATCAGAAAAATTATTTCTTCTATTGTGAATATTTTCACTTCTTTTGCCAAGCACAAAAAGCCAGCAGTAATACATGTGGTTATTAGATTTGTTTTAGTCACAGTTCCCTTAGATATTCTGATGAAAAGTCAACTCTCTCCTTGAAAACTGCATGTACACATATAAGAGATGTTGCATACAATTTTAGTGTCATTATTCCCTGAAGTCTAAATTGAGACCCTTAAGAATTCCTGAAACATTCCTTATAGATTTAGGTAGAGTTTATCATCCTAGGCTGTGATGTTTCAATCAATTTTAAATAATATATAATCAAGTACAAAGCTATTAATGATGGATTTCATTATCATTTGTGAGGAAACCAGGACATAATACCTTCATTCTTGACAAGTTTGACAACTTTATCTCCTATTAGTATGCAAATGTGTTTTCACTCATAAGCAGTAACTTATTCACATAAGACAAAACCACTGTCCTTGATCTATTAACCATGTATCACAATCACAAAATGCTAGATTTTAAATCATGTTATAATTAACATTTTGATCCACATTCTATGTACAATTAAATCTAGAATAATGCTAGATCTGATTAAAGTCATTTTATAATTAACATTTTGATCCACAGTCTATGTACAATTAAATCTAGAATATAACTACTTATGTTTTGTGAAACACAATAGAAATTAGATGGGTCTTAATTTTCTTCCAATTACATCGTAACAAAGATAGTACCAGAGAAAGAAATATTCAAAGCTTCTACATTTTATTTTCTGGATTTATGCCTTACTAGCCACAAGATCCTTATTTTTCTGTCTATTTTGCTCTTTATAAATAAAAAAAAACTACTAAGTTCATATAGAAAATATGAGCCAAAATAAATTCATGAAGGTTTTAAGCATGTTTGGATAAAAAATATTAAACTATAGTCCTCATATAATAGTCCATTTATGTCATATATTTATGACATTCCAAGTAAGTGAAGCCTTTGATCTGGAACATTTTCTTTTAATTATACTGACTGATTTCCTCCATCTAATGAAAAAGAAAGATTGTACGTTAAGAAAATAGAAGCAAATAATACCTTTACATTTGCATAATAGAAAATATATCTATTTTCTGTGCAATCATCTCAAAATAAAACCTTCAATGTATTAGAAAACATTGTAGTAGTATTTACAAAACATCATTGTGAAGCAGTCATGTGTGTATATTGTACAGGTAGAAATCTTATAAGAAATATAAGCACATTGCTAACATTAATGGATTCACATTTTTACATTACATTCTTGGTTAAGTGAGAAAAAAATACTCATCACCTTATTGTGAACATAGAATGTACATTTTGTACTCAATTAACATATAAATAAATAAACATTTCCCCTCTTCTAAAAAATCACATTATGCAACAATCACATATTTTTTACAAATGGATCTCATTCTGGTTTTCTGCTGCCACTGATAGTAGGTATTTCGTGATCAGTCTCTTTTTCAGGCTCTACCATGTCTTTATATCTCTCCCCACGATGTTTTTCCAGGTATGGACCCCAGTTAGAAGCTGGTCTGCAGCAGTTTATAATACGCTGAAATGTAACAAATAAAATTTTGTCTTACAATTTAAGTACAATAATCTGTGCACCAACAAATATTGAACTATACATTTATTTATTTTTTAAAGTTTTTTTACTAACAACAATTAAATAACAATCATAGAAAAGTAAAAAGTGGCATTCTAAATTTTTAGTGCACAGTCAAATTAACTGTTAATAGAGTCATATAATTTCAAAATAAAAATAACCAAGTGTGTAAATTACTTCAGAAGAAGATACATGAACCCAGTAGAATAACAGTGTCACCTTCACTGAATTCTCATGCATTTCCACCCTGTCCTTCGGGTTAAGGTGAGGTAAGGACCTAAACTCCTGTGCACTGGATGTGTTTCAACAAACAATGTCAAACATTTGATTTAGATATGCTCTTGAATGGGCTTGGGAATTTATTTAAATCCAAGGCTTCTAAGCCTACCTAGTAAGAAAGTGATAATCAACTACACTTCTTTAGGCCTCCATGGAAGAAGGATACAAGATAAGTTACCAGGCTTATTCAGTGTAAACATACTATTAGGACTTGTATTATAACCAGGTGGGACTTTAAAAGTGGAGACTGTGGATATAAAAAGCAAATGAATCATTGCTTTGTGATATATCTTCAAGGATAACCCAGTAAAAGTTTAGAGATCAGAATTATCTGCTAAGCACTGTAATAGGGCCTGAGGATACAGCAACTAGCAAGACCAGATTCTCCTCAGAAGGAGCTTATAGTCTATTACAGGAAGACGCACAAATATATAGAGGATATAAACACTATAACCTAGAAACATGATTATATGGGGTACAGAAGTAGCCAGATGAAAGAATAATTAATTTGATCCCATAACACTCATTACTGTCATATAAGTAAATTAGTCATTTTTGTACAAAGTGTTCGTGATTTTATGTAAAATATTTAAATCTTAATGTGCTTACTTGAAGGATGCTTCCTTCAGCCTGAATTATTTTTATGAGAGCCACAATTGGAATCCAAATAATGCAGAAAATAATCATACACCAGCCTAGAGCAACTGCCCAATCAGGGTATGGAATTTGAGCATACTCGGGTCTATGAAATTTTACCAGTGACCAGACCAAAATTGCCTGTGAAAGTAAAATATGAAAAGTCAAAGCTAAAGATTAGACTTTATGGTACAAATGATTAATAATTTGATTCCATTACTTAGAAGTAATTTATCAAAATCAATGAAAATGAAACTACAACTAAGGAACTAAGATAATTAGATAACAAGCCAGAAGATAACAATATGAAATGAATTAAACATCTATTTTTACTTTGAATAAATTCTTCCAAAATTAATGCCTCCCTATATTCATAAAAGATATGAATACTCATTTAGCATATATTTCAATAAAACCTTGATCATATATCATAATGAAAGTAAAATAAATCTGAAATTTGCTATTGACCTTTTAAGTTTTTAATTTTAATTAAATTTATTAATTTTCAACTGATACATAACAAAAATTGACATGTTATAGGGTACCAAATATATATATATATATTGCATATTGTATAAAACAAGTTAAAAGTTTATTTCCTAAAACATTTCAAAATCCTCTTCTAACTTTTTAAAATGTACAGCACATAATTTTTATTTATAAACACCCTACTATGCAATAACACACCAGAACTTCTTACTCCAATCTAAGTGTAACTGAGATCTGTATACACACACACACACACACACACACACACACACACCTGAACCTCTGGTAACCACCATTCTGTTTTTAACTTTTATTAGATCAATTTTTTAGATTTCTATGAGTGAGATCATGAAGTACTTGTCTTTTTGTGCCTGGCTTATTTCACTTAATGATCACCAGTTTTCTCCATGTTTTCACAAATGACAAGACTTCATTTTTAATGGCTGGATAGTATTCTGTTGTTTACATATACCATATTTTCTTTATCCAATTATGAGGTGATGGACACCTAGGTCATTTCTGTTTCTTATCTGTTGTGAATAGTGAGTGCTGCAATGAACATGGGAGTAAAGATTTCTCTTTATTATATTAACTTCATTTTCTTTGAATATATTATTGACAATACCAAAGGAAACCTTTGCACATTTTGGTAGAGATGGGAATTAGTACAGCCATTATGGAAAACAGTACGGGGGTTCCTCAAAGAATTGAAAGGAGAACTACCATATGATCCAGCAATCCCACTATTGGTATATACCCAAAGGAAATTAACTTATATAACATGTTTTTTCTATGCTACAAGCTAGCTG